AATGTAACTTTTTTTTTATCAAGGATTTATATACAAAAATAATGACAATAAAATAAAAATGTTTTTGACACAAATATATTTACAAATTAGATAAACTATTTACATAAAAGCTATTTACAATAAATCAAACAATGGGGGTTGATCTTGAGCAGGACCAACACCCTGCTCATGCTGCAGAGACAGGATCCTACGGTGCATCCAGACCACCAACTCTCCAATCTCTCTGAAAGATCTGGTTTCCAGCACTGTTTACCAAACAGAAATGAAACATGCAATTAACGGTGATGCAATAGCTGCCCCAAAACATGACATTAGTAAAAAAAAAAAAAAAACACAGCTAGCAGCAACGTACAATAATGCCTAACTTAGTGGTTGTTTGATGAAAGAAGCCTATGGTGAAAACATAACCCACTACTCAATTCACACATGGCTAGAATTCACTCATTATTAACATAATCATTTCATAGCCTAAGTGGTCATACTGTAATCCTAACCACCCCATCCCCCCCTCCCCCTGCCAAAAAAAAAAAGGCACATGTAAGTACAGCCTACTCCATAAACAATTTGGACACACAAGTTGAAAATAGATTTTGATTGTTTTGGCATTGCCTACAAATAGGTATGTATCCAGCTGTTGGAAGCTCAATCTTGGTAAGTGACCAAACCTCATGGCCAGAAACACCAGGCTCCCAAAAAGTATAAAGATAATGAGACAGAGGTGATAAGCTGAGGCAAACAGTGTATACATCTGCTTAGTCACAATTAATGTTTGCATATTCACAAAATCACAGTTGTGGTTGACTTTATATAAATATTAGCAAGGATTACTCCATCCATGGTGCTTATTGTTGATGGTGTAATATTTGCAGTTGGACACCTGAACAACCCTGGCCTGACCAGAGCAGATCTAGACAAGAATGGGTAGGTGAAAAGCCACAAAGAAGATAACAAATTAAAAATACATAGGGACATACTCACCTGCAGGAATTGTGACCACTGGATGCGATTGGTCATCCTTCCAGTGACCCCTGGCAGCCTGATGGGACGCTATAGAAAAAGAAACATAAGAAGACCAAACAAGTGAGCTATAACATGTGTGATAAAATTTTTTTTACTAAAAAATACTAACACAGTAGTGACCAAAGGATTATTTGGCATCGACAAAAAAATTAAAGACTAGATAGCAAGGTCCTATTTGAAGTTCTGTAACTAAGCTAAATGTGAATATGCTTAAGAGGTGCATAGACACTTTTATATTGTACTTGTTTTCAAATATCTGGGTTATATTACGGAAGGCTATTCAGACCCTGTCAGGTTTAGATGCTATCTGGGTGTCCACTTTACTGTAGGGTCTATGTCTCACATTGCGACAGACAAGAAAAAAGATTGCCCATTTTTATACTTTGCACTACTTTCATTTGTTCTTTGGTTGCTTTTGCTTTTCTTAAATTGACCCCAGTTTCTATCTTTGAAAAGGTAGAAGAAGAAATGTTTGTCAGGTGAAATATTTGGATGTTGGTGCTTGGCAGCAGGAAAACCTGATGGGGGGAGGTAAGCCTTTCAGAATCTCATTAAATTTTTCTGGTGACATCCATGCAAAGTAATAGGTTTACCTGGCAGAAGTGGTGTGCCAGCACTGCAATGAATAGATGCTTGTTAGTGGCAAGGGGAATTGGGTCAAACTGTTTAACTTTACATATCGTCCACTCCACTAGGTTAAGCAACACTAATAGAAAAGTCCCTGCCCTGCATACTGTTTTTTCCCTGCATTATGGGGTCTAAATTCCCTGTGACATCACCAGCCCAATGCAGAGGCCTTCGGCCTACAATGGATGTGAGGGCACCAAGGGACAGTCTACTAGCATAACCGAGGATAGCCTCAGTAAAAATGGTATTACCATCCTCTACACCAATACAGCAAGCCACCCTTGAGTGCCAACACATCCACACTGCAAGGGAGAACTTGTACCTGTCCATGAGTTGGCAGTGAGCACCAACAAATCTGGTCTAAAATCCCCTCTCACACAACTTAAAAAAAAAAAATATGTGAGGCTGCAACAAAGTCAACAATTTACCTTACCTTCACTAATTGGGGCCTTTGCTGCTTCTTTCCCCCCAGAGGATTCTTCCTCAATAAGGAGGGGTAAGGACCCATGCGTTCCAGAAGGTTCTATTTAAAAATGATAGAACACAAGAAAACAAAGGCTGCCATTAAAATCCCATTATCTTAAGCTTAATAAAGCTAACAAAAGGAACAGCAATAAGTGAACTAGTAGGAAAAAATAAATACTTTGTAAATGCCATATTACCACTAGCCTTCCCTTTAAATAAAGTATATGTTTGACCTACTATAGGGGATCCTTTCCAAAAGTTTGGCATGTGAAGTGTAGAGGAAAGCGCTAGTGAGCTTACTTAAGCTTAGTTTTCATTTGCTAAATATTTGTTAGCAATACACACAATTGTTTGAAGGCAGAAAAAAACAACAGAATGAGTGGAGCACATGACTAGATCATAGTGACCTGCCACACTTCCCAATAGTGCCTAACCCTAGTGAGCATTTAGGAAAAAAGTATTTTGGAAAAGCAGTAGAGCATGTAAGGTTTGGTATATCAAAACCTAAATTACAATATATGAAATTCTACTGAGAATCAACACAAGTTTTTGGATTCGTGTTGGATAGAGAAAGTGGGGAGGGGGTTTCAAAAACCACTGTCATTGTTTATGGTTGGTCATATCTGTGTAGCATTGGGTAGATTTCCTTTACCTTCCCTTCCCTGAAGGTCAAGTTCTTAACCCTTGTAAAGAAAAAGAGATACAAGCACAGGCATGTCTACGGGGCACACCTTAATCCCCCTGCTGCCCCCCACCCCCAGTACTGATTTGCTTCCCCCTCCCCTATCCTGCCGGCTGCTTTTGCAGGCACACAGGGGAATGTTTCAGAATAGAGAGTGGGGGAAGGGGCCGCTAAATATGTCATTTATTGGCCCCTTCCTGAATGAACACAGTGAGTGGTTGGTACTGACCACTTACTTTGCTCATAACTGAAGCATAGTAATTCGTGTTTACTATGCTTCAGTTTGTGAATGAACAGAAAGCCTCAGATCACTTCCTGTTCATTCACTGTCCTGTGCAGCTGAGGCTGCAGAGAAAGGGACTGGGGAATCTTTGTCCTTAGTCCCTTTCTCTCAAAAGTTAAACATCAGATTCTATTTAGACCCCTGATTTTTCACCTAAGCACCCCAATAGGGATCTTTAAAATTTGTTAATAAAATAAGAAAATTGCAAAAAAAATTATAAAAATAGAATATAAATAAATAAAAAACTACTGAAAGTGTCCTCTGCCCTACTCACACATCTATTGCTCTAATGACACCGTCCACTGCTTTACTGACACTACCCATGTTTTAATTTAATTTTAACATATTTACATTAATAAAAGTGTGTGCCTGTTTGTGTATGTATGTATGTGCTATACACATGTTTATATATGGAACAAATATAAAACAATATATATATATATATAAAATATACCCTTAACTTAATATTGTGACAGGATGAACGGCGAGGTGATAGAGGGACGCTATGTGTCACCTCGCATATGCTCATACCTGACCGTTTAGGTGGAGTCCACTCCGGCTTTTTCGTATGTTTGGGGGCCACAGTTAAGCAGGTGGGTCCGGACCAGAGTTTGGGCTCCACTGATGACCACCAACAGGTGGTATAAATAAGGCAGGGCTGGAGCAAGGAGTTGCTCGTGGCCTGGGACTCAGAGAGGTGTTCTGAGAGAGCTGTGTGTATGGACTATACCTGCAAGAAAAGGTTTGCTGTTACTTTGTTTTGGTGACAGGGAGAAGCCCTTCACCTCTGAGAGAGGAATCATCTGCTGTTCAGTTAGTGCCTGGATGGCAAGGGTTTATTTTGATGTTTTGTTTATTTTGATATTTCTTGCAAACCTTTTTAATAAAACTGACATCCAGTCAGATTTTGACGAAAGCCTGCTGTGCAGTCTACCTTTGTCCCAGGGAAGGAGATCCCCCACCTGAGCTAACCCCACAATATATACACAAATACACACACATACACACACACACACATACACACACATACATACACACACATACATACACACACATACACATACACACACACTATATTGCCAAAAGTATTGGAACGCCTGCCTACACGCACAAGAAATTTAATGGCAAACCCTTCAGATCACCAGATTTATAATAATGCAATATGATTGTTACGTCAAGGAGCTCAAAGGGTGAAAACACATTGATGCATCTGCAAAAGCTAGCATATACACCTACACCCATACACACAATATTGCCAAAAGTATTGGGATACTTGCTTTTAAACGCACATTAACTTTAATGGCATCCCAGTCAGTGTGTAGGGTTCAATAGTGAGTTGCCCCCCCTTTGCAACTATAGCAGCTTCAACTCTTCTGGGAGTGCTGTTCACAAGGTTTAGGAGTGTGTCTATGGGAATGTTTGACCATTCTTCCAGAAAAGCATTTATGAGGGCAGACACTGATGTGAAACAAGAAGGCCTGGCTCACAGTTTCCTCTCTAAATTCATCCCAAAGATAATCTATCGGGTTGAGGTCAGGACTCTATGCAGGCCAGTCAAGTTCCTCCACCCCAAACTCGCTCATCCATGTCTTTATAAACCTTGCTTTGTGCACTGATGCTCAGTCATGTTGGAACTGGAAGGAACCATCCCCAAGCTGTTCTCACAAAGCTGGGAGCATTACATTGTCCAAATGTCTTAGTATGCTGATTCCTTAAGAGTTCCTTTCACTGGAACTAAGGAGCCAAGCCCAACACCTGAAAAACAACCCCACACCATAATCCAACCTCCATCACACTTTACACTTGGCACAATGCAGTCAGGCTATTACCGTTTTTCTGGCAACTGCCAAACCTAGACACATACATCGGATTTCCAGACAGGGAAATGTGATTCATCACTCCAGAGAACACGTCTCCAAAGCTCTAAAGCCCAGCGGCGGCGTGCTTTACACCACTGCATCTGCCGCTTTACATTGCACTTGGTGATGTAAGGCTTGGATACAGCTGCACGGCCATGGAAACACATTCCATGAAGATCACTACACACTGTTGTTGTGTTAATCTGAAGGCCACATGTAGTTTAGATATAAAAATAATCCCCCTGCGCTCCACTTGTATGAACAAACACAACCCCAAATATATGCAAGCTGCTACCACCTATTCCCAATACCACAGGATGTATGACATACAAAAACCAATACTGTTGAAGCGCTTCACATGAAAAACTAAATAAGTAGGTGCAATGATATAAAAATACATATAAAGTGACCACACTGTATTGAAAGGTATAGATAACTAGTGCTAAATAATCCACAGGTCATGCGTTTGCTGACTAGATCGTGCCAGAATACAATATAAGCACAGTAAACATAATACACAAGAACATTGCACAATCTAACTGAAAGTGGAAAGTGCTCAGTATGGGTATGAATATTGGTTAAAAGTAAAATCCACAATAAAGTGCAATAACAAAGTGCTAGACATATCATGTGCAAACAAACACCGCAATGTCATGTCAGTGCTTCAATTCTTCACTCCAAACATGATGCGTGTTAGCATGCCACACGTGTATATCGTAATCCAAAAGTGGCTAAAATGCCTCCTCACCTTAACCATGCGACCCCTAAGGGCCACAATGCTTTAGGTAATATAGCTCCACCAGACTGGGGATCTCTGTAATAATACTCCTGTAGTACCACTCGATCTCCTCTTCCAGGTCACTTATGCCCACAGATGGTAATCCCCCAGGATAATCACAAGGCCATAGAGAGGTAGACAAAGAGAGCCTCTATAGTGAAATGCCATTTATTCCATATAGCAGATGAAAACAAGCCAAAAGAGAACACTCACAGTATAGCAGATCTCATCCAGCAGGTCTCCCATGTGCTGTGGGTGTACTGCAAGGTGTTCAAAGATGGTGTCTGCGGAAAGTGCGTAACCAGAAGTATGTCACCGCGCTCTACGCGTTACTCCACGATATCACGTGGCTTCATCAGGATAGACTATCCTACACTTCAGCATGTGCTGACCCCGCTCTGTTATTTTACATGGTCTACCACTTTGTGGCTGAGTTGCTGTTGTTCCAAGGTGCTTCCACTTTGTTATAATACCACTAACAGTTGATCATGGAATATTTAGTAACAAGGAAATTTCATGGATGGATGTTTTGCACAGGTGGCAACCTATCACGGTACCATGCTTGAATTCACTGCGCTCCTGAGAGCAACCCATTCTTTCACAAATGTTTGTAGAAGTCGTCGGCATGCTTAGGTGCTTGCTTTTATACACCTGTGGCCATGGAGGTGATTGGAACACCTGAATCCAATGATTTGAAGGCGCATCCCAATACTTTTGGCAATACAGTGTATATTTTGAGCTTTGGGATGCACACCCCAATGCAATAGGCTGCAGACACCTATGGATACAAGTGTGATCACTTGTCACACCCTATTAAATTGGAATCCCTCATGAGTATGGCCTTCCTAAAGCAACTGTATTGTATTTTAACTCTACCTTATACTTTTATCTTGTGAAGCATGTATAGAATAAGATACAGTACATAATCAGATTATTCTCAAAGTACAAATTTCAAAAAGTCCCAAATGTCTCATGGGCCAACCAAAATTGTGTTTACCTTCATCCTGTAGCAGCAGACCAGCTTCTTGATCACCTGACTCCTGCTCTTCCTCCTCCTCTTTAAAAAAAATTAATAAATAAATTATATATATATATATATATATATATATATATATATATATATATATATATATATATATATACACATACGTACATACATACACATACACACACGTTACATAGTTATTCTGGCTGAAAAAAGACAAAAGTCCATCCAGTTCAACCATGAAAAAAAAGTTATAATCCTATACCCACAGTTGATATATATATATATATATATATATATATATATATATATACACACACAAACATAGTGGGTAAAATAAGTATTGAACACGTCACCATTTTTTTTGGTAAATATATTTCTAAAGGTGGTATTGACAGGAAATTTTCACCACGTCTCAGGTGTGATTTTGGCCAAACAGTCACACAAACAGCCACAAACAGTCTGAAAAATCTTGAAGGTTCCTTGGGCCTCCTCTATGAACTCTGATCTTTAGTTCTTTCCATAGATTTTCTATTAGATTCAAATCAGGTGATTGGCTGAGCCATTCTAGCAGCTTTATTTTCTTTCTTTGAAAGCAATTGAGTTTCCTTAGCTTTGTGTTTGGGATCATTGTCTTGCTGAAATGTGTTCCCTTGTTTCATCTTCATCATCTCAGTAGATGGCAGCAGATTTTTATCAAGAATGTCCACACCATGATGTTTCTACCTCCAAACTGTTGGTATGACCAGACTATATTCTCCTGGTATTTCACAGCCTTGTCTAAATGTTGTGCAGCAAACTTTAAATGAGCGTCAACATGCTTTTTCTTCCACGTGGGAGTCTTACGTGGTGAGTGTGCACACAGGCCATGGCAGTTGATTGCATTAGTACCTGCTAATTCCAGATGTTTCTGAAGCTCTCCAAAAGTGGTCCTTGGCTCTTTGACAACTCTTCTGATAATTCTTTTCACTCCTCTGTCAGAAATCTTGCAAGGAGCACCTGGTTGTGGCCAGTTTATGGTGAAATTATGTTCTTTCCACATCTGGATTATGTCCCAAAAGTGCTCACTGGAACATTCAGAAGTTTAGAAATCCTTCTGTAACCAATGCCATCAGTATGTTTTGCAACAATAAGGTTGTGAAGGTCTTTATATACACACAAATAAACATACTGTATATATGCACACGCAAGAAGCAAACAAGTGTGCCATCTCAGAGCCACAATCAAAAATAAGAGGCAAATTCTCCAAAGTTATAGAATCTCCAGTTGCCCCCAGAACTAGTGTCCCCATTATTAGCATTTTATCCTCAATCTGCTGTTCCTGACATCATCATACCCATACATCTCCTTTGGACATGAGGACAACCAGAACAGTCCACTGCTGGGTCACGGTGGAGCATTGTTTGCTTGTGGAGAGGAGGATAGGGTGAGTATACAGTGAGTATCCTCACCCCTGGACAAAACAAGTTAACCTGTGCAGTGCGGGCACAGCACCATTGCATGGGAACTCTTTTTTTTCCCCCAAAGTTGAATTTTAACCACTGTAAGGAAAAAGAGATACAAGTGTGATCACTTACCACACTCTATTAGACTGGAAGCTCTCACTATTAGACTGGAAGCGGTTTCATGAGCAGGTCCCTCCTAACCCTCTTGCATTGTATTGTATCGTGTATAGTAGGGGCTGACTGAATCTTGATCCATGTATGGGCAGGCTGGTTGGAAAGTTTTCTCTCAATCTGTGTCGCTGGCTGATTAGAGTAATCTGACAGCAGAGAAATCTCCCTGCTATCGGAATGCAATAGTTCAGCGGGAGAGATTCCCCTATCTACATAGCGTGTGTGGATAGGGGAATTGAGTAATTTTCTTTTATTCAACCCGCTAGTTGAATGAAAAAAAATTACTCATGCATTGTTAGCTTAACTCTACCCTTTGTCTTGTAAAGTGGTGTGCAAACTGTTGGTGCCATAAAAGCATGTATAAGTATAAGATTTATTATGAGAATATTTTCAAAATACATATTCCAAAAAAAGGACCAAATGTCTATGGGCCAGTCAAAATTGTGCTTACCTTCATCTTCTGCTAACAGACTTGCTGGAGAAGAGACTGCTCCCTCCTCCTCTGTAGGGGTCTCCTCCTCCACCTCCTCTACAGAGCCCAGCTCCTCATCCTCCTCTTCCTGAGGCTCTTCCCCTGTTTCCTTTTCTGCCTCCTCTGCCACCACATCTGGTTCCTCCTCTCCCTCTGAGGATGAGGTCAAAGGTGTCTCCTCTTCTTCAGAAGTAGAGGAATACTCAAGGAGGGCAATCCTTCTCCCCCGCTGCCTCTGCAGCCGGAGCCGAGGGCATCTGTGACTAGATTTAACTAGAAAGAAGTAAAAGAACACAAACAAGAAAAAAACATATATCTAGAAACAGAGTTTAAAGTTTGATGCACACCCCCCAAAAAATATTCTAAATATGATTGTTAAGATCCACTACAATATGTGAAGCAGATTTACTTACGTGCGATGTACCGCTCGTACACCAAGTGGAGGAACTCTGGGTTCCTCCGTTTAAGATCACTCCAACAGTGCTGCAATTGCAGCACTGTTGAGTAATGGTGATATCTTCCCCAGAGCCACTCACAGAGGCCCTCCATGATGGCTCTTTTTGCAAATGTAGTCTGCTGCTGGTCGTAGCGGTGGCAGAGGAGAATCTGTGGAAACAAAAAGACAAAAAACATTTAGAGGTGTTTGTGTAGAAATCCATAACAACATTAAACAGCAAACTGTATATCAAACCTCTCACCCAAAAATAGTATTGATATATTAATGTCCTAACAAAATCTAACAAGCTAACTTTAAGCACACACCAGGGCAGAGACAAGGGGGGGCAGAAGGGGCACTTTTCCTAGGCTCCACTGCTCTATGAACAGGGTGGGCACTGAGAGCTTAAGCAGCTCCCTTCTCCCTGCTCCTGACAGGAGTGACTTCAGTGTCATTCCTGTCAGCAGGGCTTTTCTACTTCTGAAGCATGGCAGTACTCGGTAGCACCACTCCCAGCACTAGCCCTGCGCTCAACACTATCACTTGTAAGCAGGAGCCCATTTCCTGTGCCAGCTTCTGTTTACAAGTGACAGAGTAGGAGGATCAGCCAACAGGAACTTGGGTTGTCATGCTGCAAAGCAGAAAGCGCTCACACAAAGCATGATAGCCGAGCCTCCTGGAAACCACTGCTCCTGCACAAATGAGGCATTCCCCTTCTGCCAAACTCCTGTCTTGGCCCTGCAACCTGCAAACAGCAGTTTCCAACACAATTAAAAAATGTGAGATATACATTTTCTGCCATTGAGTGGCTCTCATGCTGCTCTAGTGACTGCAATACTGAGTCTCTAAACTGGTACAAAATCAAAACAAGCAATTCAGAGTTATTTAAGAAATCTAGATCTGTCAATTGCCTCCTTGCCAGATACTAAGAAAAATATTGAATTAATTAGCTTAGAATGATGGCCAGATAAGTAGTTGGGGGTGGGTGGAAGAGCTTTGTACTGGGATTGGGGATTGGAGCTCTATATTGAGGATGGATGGTTGTTGGGTAGTGTTGAGCTCAGGAGTTTTCAAACATGAGTCCTAACCCAGCTGAGCTATACAGTTGTGTTCAAAATAATAGCAGTCAGACATCACTAACCTGATCAATCACTGTTTTTGGTAGAAATGATATTTCTACATGGCAAATAATTTACTAGCAGGTGTAGTAGAGTAATATAAATCCAACAGACCCAACAGTCATGACATGTATGCTATTGATTCTGTGTAATTGAATCACTAATTGAAAGGGGCTGTCAGGTACCTAATGACGGTAGCTCTAGCTCTCCACAGACTGGATTTCCCCAGGGCGTGGAGTCTAAGCCCCAATATGCTTGTTCACCAGAGCCCCTGATGGTGGGGATTGAGCAGACTGAGACCCGGTCGCGGCCCCTGGGTACACCCAGCTGTGGTAGAGGGAACCGCCAGTGGCACGTAGCAGGATGAGAGCCTGATGTGAAGAGGCAGAACAGGCCCAGACTGCAATGGATGGATCCGAGCAGGATGGATGGACAGAACACACTGGAACAATAGCGGAGTCAGACAGGCCGTGTCGGTAACAGTGGAGGCAGAGCGATACAGAACAGCAGGCAGAGAGTCGTCGGGTCACAGGCCAGGTTCAGCAGCAGGAGATCAGATAATCGGGAACAGGCAGAAGAATGGTCAAACTAGCCAGAGGTCAGGGCAGGAGAAGGTCAGCGGTAATCAGGATCAAGCAGGGTTCGGCAACAACAGGATACTCTCAAAGGAACAACAAGGAACAAGACCATACGGCAATTTGAGCATAGTGCGCCCTGCGCTGTCATTGGTGTCAGGCGTGCATCCACGAGTGCGCATGTGCAGCCGCAGTTGTTGCCACGGGCGCCTAGTGCCCGCACGCTTGTCTGCATTGGGATTCCGCGCATGCGCAGACCCGTGCGCCGCAGCGAAACTCGGGATCCCTGTCATTGCCCCTTCTTATGGGCAGCCTCCAGATGCCCAACTGACTTCTCTTTTGTGGCTGGTTGCAGAAAAATTCTTGGATTAGCCTTGTAGCATGGACATTTTGGGCTGGCTCCCACGAATTTTCCTCTGGGCCATAGCCCTGCCACTTAATGAGGTACTGTGTTAGACCTCTCCTCTTCCTGCAGTCTAAAATTGCTTCAACCTCAAATTCTTCTTCTCCATCAATGTCTATGGCCTCTGGGGGTAT